CTGAGTGAACATTTTCTCTTGTCTGCAGGCTACGACCCTCATTGACACACACGCATCTCTCACATTGAGACATTTAACCCACATCCAGCCCTGCACACATGTACAATTGTGTGTATTACGTGCATACGCATTTGCCCTTGAGCTGCAGGCAGACAGAGATGTCAGTTTTTTGAGTATTTCATTTCTAGGGCTCCATCTCTGCAGTGTCCTCATTTTTCCAGCTGACTGTCAGATCCTGCCTTGGCATTACAGAGCAAGGTTTTCCGGGAACCAGACAAGGCTAACAGCTGGACGGCCCCTCTGACACACATTTATTTCCACAGCTTTGTTTGTCCCCTCTTGTGTAACTCTCACAATGAGCACATAATTAACAGACAATGCAGAGTGTCTGGGGAGTGGTTGGAATTAGTGCATGGAGTTAAAATACGTCTCGGATGTTTCAGTGGGAAGCACTTTGGATTATGTTGTATCAACGTGCAGGTTCAGTATAAACCCAAACAGGTAAGCCTATCTCATTTAAAAATCACCAAGGAAGACTGTGATGTTTTTCACAAATGAGCTTTAAAACAACATTTATCATATCAAATATGCGTTAGTGACAACAAATTATTTGTGAGGAACCTTGATCCAAAACCATTCCAGCATGCTTTTCTTGCAAAACTACAAAATCGAGTCAAATCAAGTTTATTTGTATATCATATTTCAGCAACCAGGCAGTTTAAGGTGCTTTACATCATAAAAACACAAAAATACAAAGTCATAGAATACACAGTCAACAGTTGAACCATTACAAAGCACCTGCAAGCATTACATCCAACCCTTGAAATGAGTATATCACGCCACCCTTCATAAGACAGCCATTTCTGGGCTGTGGCTAACTCGCGTAGAAGCTCAGGGGATTAATACATTAGTGTTTTATGAGAATTGTTCCTAAATCCAGGTTCTGACTGCATGATCAGCCGTGTCAGACCAGATCTATTGTTGTACATGATACGTGAGAAAATGAGTTGTAATCTAGAGTCTGTGGTCATTCAGTGTGACAAGATGCTCTAACCGCCATTTTAACGCTCCAACAACTAAAGATGTCATACAACAATTATCAGTGCCAAAATGTGACTCCTTCCCATGTTGTCCAGTCATGAGTACTTCGATATTCCCTCTGTACCTTCTCTCTTTTCTGTGTCCAACAGGATTTCTATGCATGTGTATGTGATGTAGTTAAAGTATTCTCCAGCTACTCTGTGAAGCTTGACCTCAATAAAAAGGTGGGTTATAAATTCAGATTGAAATTTGTAAAAGTGAGAAACACTCTGAAAATTTGGGTCTGGAAAAACTTTAACACCTTCAACCTGCTGTTCAATCATTCCTGGACTTGTATCTTATATTTCTGATTTGATTCTGCTACACCAACTATTACTGCAAAATGGCATCTTACTGTGTGACAGAAGCTTGTCTAAGGATTTTATTTTATTGAGTCAGACATGTTGAAGCCTGCACGGTTTCTGACATTTTAGCATGGTATTGTAACATTTCTGGATTACCATGATTCAGGTAATGCAGAATATCTTCCCAACTGCTTTGAATTGTAACCAAACTAGGAAAAACGATGTGAGCAGGCTCCGTGATTAAACCACAGCTATTAGTCGGAGCCTCCTGCTTAAAGGTGCATGATGTAAGTTTTTTGAAGAATGTTTTTTACATATGTCACTGTTGTGACAGTATAATGTTACAGATAATGTGGAAACATCCTCTCTAAACTGCTATTGCTGTCTGATACTCCCAGTCAAAAATAACCAGAGCCAGAAGGAAGGTCTTAGCACTGTCAATCAACCTCATGTACTCGCTGCTAAATGTGCTAATGTAACCTAACGTTACAGGAAACTGTGTATCCGCCATCATCAGTGGCCATTCTAACTAGCCTGAGCATCCACAACATGATCTGTTATCTGCAGTGTAGCAGACGGGGAAAGAAAGGGGATGAGACAGAGGGTGATTGACAGCGCTAACACCCACCTCCTGGCTGTGATTGGCTGTTGCTTTATTTTCACAGATCATCTCTCATACCATACTGTTATGACATAGTGAGAGTTTCAGCATATCTGTAAAGTAATATATATTTTTACAGTTGCATACTGCAGCATTAACTGCTCAATGCATGTCTGCAACCTTACAGGTCAAAGGGTAAAGGCTGATCCTTGCATACTGAAAAGAGACACTTATTTTAGTGGAGTACCATATACTTCAATTGAGAAATTGCAAATTTCCACCCTCTTCCAGGCCACGTCTTGCATGTCGAGACTTCCAGTTAGTAGTACAGTGTTGTAGGAGTGCATTGTGGGAATGTCGTGGGGACTGTTACCATGCCTCCTCTGCCAACCTTACAATGTCTCAGCGACGATCAAATCACACCAGCTGTTCTGTTGTTGGCTGCAAAAGCAGACATCATTTGTATTTATTTTTCTGAGGGACGTTGGCATGAATCAGGATAGTAACGACAAAAAAGGTGGCACACAGCTTTCAATAAGCGACACTCTGAGAAGAATAACTTGCACATATCTGGAGTAGTGTGAGATTTTAGTTGATCATCAAGTTCACTTGTTTCATTCACACAAATTAACCAACCATGTTTTTGTAGTTTTATTTGTTGCATTCGCAACTTTTTTCAGGTACAAAACTGGAGGCATATACCGCAAGACATTTCATACCGACCTCTCCTTTTGGCGCCATGTATACAGACACTAATATGTCAACCTTACATGTGTCAAACTGGAGACTTTTAAAGAAAATAAAATTATATCAGGAAAAGAAACAGCCCTTTAATTGGGCCATCAAATTGTTTTTACAATCGACTGCAGCCAAAAGTGAAAAAAGAAAATTCCTGTAATTGTCAACCTGAAAATGGGATCACCTTTCCTCTTCCAACTACAGCACATGTTTATTCAGGTATGCCCTCTAATGATTAATTCAGAAGTTGTGGTTATGTTGAAACATTTTGCTGTCATCAGAGAGCAGCATTGTTTCCAAGTCATGCTTGGTTAGAGGGTGCCAAGTCTAGTCCTGTAATGTGGATTAGCAGGTTAGGGAAGCCATAGAAATAGTTTGCTAAATGGTTGACTTCCTCAGATTTGTGTTTTAATTTAGACTTAAAGTCAATGTTTAACCTGTCTAACATGAATGTCAAAGTCCATGCCTGCCTCTTTGACTCTCCTGAGAACAGTAAATGCTCTGTTTCAATAATTTTCTCCCAGCATGGGTGTGCATTTGTCCCTCAGATGATCTATTTGTTGTTTTGCTCATTGAAATGGCCCTACAGATCAACTGTATCCAGACAGCATGTAATCGTCCTGTTGTTTTTAAAGCGATTTGTTTCAAATAAAGAGAAACAGAGAGTAACGTGTCCATCTGCAGCTCCCTCCAGCCTGGCTGGGTTGTGGTTGGTTAAGGAGTTTGGACTTGAAGGTTTGGCTCTGTGTGTTTGGCTGTGGATCACAGCTCTCCAGATCACAGCCAGGGCCTTGTTTTCACTGTTAGCATTGTCTCTTCTATGCCCCAGTACAATACTGCTGGCTAGCAGCTACAAACATATGCACACTCTTGCCATTTGTCAGTGGAGACCATCCTGGGTGGTCCAAAGATGTTCCCATTGAGTCTTTTCTTCTTGGTTTGTGACTCAATTCATACCTCAAGTCTAAAAGTCATCCTTCTGGCTATATTCCTTTTACACATGCTGCATTATAAATGAATGTCTGTGCATGTTAGGTATGTCTCTGCCCTGTTTGAGAAACATTCAGAAATGTTCATCGCAGTCTCATGTTTCTGCTGTTTTGATTAATCTTCTTGCGCCTTTTTCTGTTCGGAGGATTCTCGTTTTGTGTGTGGGCAATGGAAAGCGATAAAGAGTGGGAGAAAGAATGGGACGGATGGCAGGGTGCCCTAAGGCCATGTTAATAAGCATTCCCTTTCTTTTGGCCCTATTCTTTCTTTTGGTGTCTTCGCTCTCCTCCCTCCCTCTCTTCGAAGACAGCGGGATCAGATCATTGCTTCACTCCCCGGCGTTTCCCCTCTCGCACCCACCCTCTGCTGGCTGCAGCCTTTCCTCTTGCTTTGTCCAGCTCCTTACTTTCATGCTCTCCTCCCTCCTTTTTGGGTTTGTCCAATTCCCTCTCCTTCAATCTCCCTTTGAGACCACAGACTACAGATTAAGCTAACGCCAGAATAGGAAATGGGGTGTGAGGGTGGGAAGAGGGGATGAGGAAAACACTCTTGTATATATTGGTCCAAGCTCCTATGAAGATGAATCGAAGATGTTTGATATAATTCACAAGACTTTAAAAATGCAGAACCTTGTGACTCTGCTGTGCAAACTGTGATATGTTCTCATCAAATACAATTTAACAGGTTCTCACACCACTGTCAGCCAGCTTTTTGTTGGCACCCAAAGAGGAAGTTGGTTTCTTAAGTTTTCAATGCCAGAGTGATTGCATCACTTTAGTGCGACAGTTCAAGCTGCTCATTTTTCTGAAATGATATGGATAGGTCACTCATCTGTTTAAATCCTTTAAGAAAAGGTTGTCAAAGAAGTAAAAAAGAAAAAAAAATAACTAAAATTTTTACTTTTACTTTTTTTTTTTTTTCAGGAAAAACAAAAGAAAAATATGCTGTTTGGTTATTGGAGATCCATAACATAACATGTGTTTTGCACATTTGCTGCAATAAAAAAAGACAACTACTTCTTAAATAATTTGGGGCTAAACTGAGCAAATTTATATCTGGTTGTAAGACCAGGATTTTGGTCACTTTCTTTCAAAATGCTTGCTACATTTAGTAAAGTTAGATAAGTTGAATAGAAGCTGATTTGGGTGCTGCAAAATGGGCTTCTCAATTAAAATCTATGGATAAACATGGTTGTACATTTTCCATTGCAAGAAAATCTTGCCTGTAATAAATTTGTCCTGACTACAAATAAAAACTCCACGTGTTGTCTTGTGTCTTTCTTACAGTACTGGCATAAAGGATGCTTCAGCTGCGAGATCTGCAAAATGACTTTAAACATGAAGAATTACAAAGGCTTCGAGAAGAGACCATACTGCAATGCGTAAGTTTTCTAGCTAAATCATCTTTCTGTGGACGTCTCAGGGAATGTCACACGCTTTACATTCAAGGGCTTCAGCCTGAAGTCTCCATTTAATTTGTGCGTAGCTCTGAAATTGGACTAAATGTTTGTGTGAGTGGTGCAACCCAACTACGGCCCCTCTCTTCCTCCTATTTATCTGCATCTATTCCAGCTCCCCCCCTCAAAGTGAAGGCCTGTGTGGGAAAGTGCTTCCCTCCCTCCCCCTTCTCAATGGGGAAGAAGGGTATCAACAAAGGAAATTCCTCAAGTTCCTCTACAGTGACAGAGGTGGACTTGAGAAACTAGCATGTTCCCTCATGCTTCAGTACATGCTGAAGTTCCCAACAGGAATCCATGGAATCCCCTCCCCTCTCATGTTACGCATAATAACTTCCTCCTCCTCCTCTTAAGCCCGTGTGTGAGAGCGGGAGAGTGTGTGCACGTTCAGAGAGGGAGCGAGGGAAAGAGGCGTTGCTTCGTGTCCTGACAAGCTCATTTGCTGAGCTGCCATTTTATTGAGTGAGAAATGTATAAAGGAGCTGTCGGCTTGATCCCAGTTAGACATTCGTGTTTTGGTGATAGGATGTGCGACTTCTTCCCTGTCGTGAATAATTTCAGAGATAAACATTAGGTTTGAGGCTTTTTTTTTTCCCCTTCTTGTGCAAGGCCAAAGATTAGCTGCAAGTTCGACATCTTGACATGTGAACATGTGACAGCTGTTGATACCCACTGATTTTTTTTTTCTTTCATATTTTGTCATGTCACAACATAAAAGCTTAACATATTTTCTACGGCTGCATCTAACGAATCATTCTGGTGATAAATCGAGTTATTCTAGTGATTAATTGGATAAATTAACTTGCACATTCTTCTGATTTTTCATTAGAACACTTAATTTTATTTTATATATCAAAAATGCATAATAAATGCATAACAAATGCAAAAAAATAATAATTTTTTCTTTAAATAAGAATATAAGCATTGTATTGCCTAAAATGCAAAAACAACATTCCTTTAGTGAACCCTTGGTCATTTGCAGCAAAGGATAAATGTGCAGCTAAAAAAAATACTTATATCAACATGAAAAATGCCCAATCCTTTCTGCTTGACTTAACGTTAATGTAGTGTGGAACTAATTTGTTTACTTTCTGGATTAGCAAATTGAATAACAAAAGGTTAATAGATTTTTTTTTCCAGAATTTGAAGAGTGTACTTAATGAGTTACGGGTAGAACATATTTACAGAAAAATGAGTTTTTCATCTTAATGCAGAATGTATATATTTTTAAACAGTTTTGGCTTAATTACTGCTCAGAGTTTCGCCTTTTTTTGAGTCTGTGTACTCCAGTTAATCATTAATCGATCAGTAAATTAGCTGACAATTATTTCAATAATCAAATAAATATAACTTAAACAATTAATGGTTGTTTTAATATGATTTTCTGTGATCTGTGATGGCACAAACTAGTAAATGATTATGAAATAAAAAGAAAATAAGGCATTTTGTTTTCAAATAATTGTCTTAATTCCACTAAAAAAGGATTAGTTTACAAAAACATGGCGTCCCTCCTTAAGCAACAGGCAGGTCGAGGAGATCATTGTTCAGGGAAGCAGCCAAGAGGCCCTTGGTGTCTCTGGAGGAGCTGTAGACAATCTAGCTTTAATGGAAGAGAATTGCTGCTAAGAAGAAACCATAAAAGAAAAACCCATTTAAGATTGCATATGAATCTTTAAGCATGGTGATGGCAGCATTGTGCTTTGGGGATGGCATTCTCCTCAAGGGCATTGAAGCTGGTCATAGCAGATGATTGATGGCACTAAAAGCAGGGAGGTCACTGATAAAAACAAGAATTCAAACGAGGGTTAATGTTTAACTTTCCAAAAAAAGGCCAACGACCGTAAACATGCAGTCAGAGCTGCAACAAAACGGTTTAAATCTGATGACTACAGATTGTCTCCATCCATTCTGCACAATTTTCTGATTCTTATGTGCAAAACATTTTAAAACTGTATCATTTTCTTCAGTTTAGTAATTATTCTGTTTATATATATGAAAGTTTGCAGTTGTAACAAAATATGGAAAGGTTTAAGGAGTGTGGCGTGAAGATGCTGTTTTAGGCTCAATTTGATACGTCGATGCAACACAATGGGATGACTGGTTTTTAAATCTTAAGAACCTGATAAGAAACTAATTAAGCTTTTTAACTCGGGGTAAAACTCAAACTTCAAGTTTCTTGAGTAACTTACTTCTGTGTCTTAGTAATTTTATTAGTGAGTCATATTTCCTAAGATGTCAGCTTTCAGAAGAACTGCCTGTAAGTCTTAAAAGGAAACATAAAAATGGAAGAGTGTTTTATCGGATGACTGAAGAGTTTTAGAAATGCAGAAACTTCCATTTTTAAAAATGCATTCTTTTGATTGCAGAGTAGCACTTATGTAGCGTCTGAATGCAATCGCGTTAAGAGTTGTGGTTGTAAACCATTTGCCTGGAGAATCACATCTAGCTGTTCTTCAGTTTGCTCTGCACTTTCACAACAGGAAGTGCTATTTTCATAGCACATACTTTTAGACACACCAACAATACTGTTGAAGGAAAAAAAAAAGAGTTAAACAAACCAACAAACAAAATCTCATTCCATGAATTTCCAGAGTTGTTTCCAAGGTAGATGAACTCTGTGGTTTCCCCAGGAGCTAATTTTGTCTTCATTTGCATTTTACCCAGTCACAACTGGTGTACGCTTGAGATTACTCCAGTTGGAAACTGTTACTGTTCTAGCATACACATATCCTGAGCTTACATGCAATCCACACATCATAAAACTGAATTGGGTAAACAAAATTCAGTCATAACTCAGGTTTTCTAAGCTATGCTGGCATATTTTAATAAGTTATTTTCCATAAATATGTCAGTTCCAGTGCCGTACCCATAATGACCTAATCAGACATTTAAAATTTAAGGATATTTACATTAAGGTGTAAACTTCCAGCAGGTGTCAACTACTCTACACTTCTCCAAAAGTAAAAGAAATCGTCTCGTTTTGCTTTTCCTCCTTCCTTCCCCTGGTCTCTCTCTGCATGGCCCTTCAGAGTGTGCTTATTATGCCTCCCTCTGTTTGTTTAATGTAAGCCTTGTGAGAGTAAACATCATCAGTTGAAGAGGCTGCAGCTCCAGGAAAGGAATGCAGGCTACGTTCTGTTCCCGTCCACCTATGGGATAACTACTTTATCATTACTCCATTATGTTTGACCTTGGTAATTCATATAGGCGCTGTTTGTTTTTTCTGGATTCCCACCCTCTTCCCTGAGAGTCTCTCCCCTCGGTAGATAATGCAGTCGCCGCGGCTTGTGGGAGACTGAGAAAGGCGATGAGCTGATTGAAAAACTCTGATGGTCTTTGGTCTCTGATGGTTGTAAATTACCTTAATGACTGAAAGTCTCTATTAAGCTGAGCATCAGTTTAGTTTAGAGCCTCAACTAATGATTGTTTTAGTAACTGATTCATCTATCAATTATTCTGATGATTAATTGGATGAAAAAAGATTTTTTTTTTCTTTTAACCACCTTCCTTTTTAAATGGGTAAATAAAATTTTGATTGCCTAAAAAACAATAACTTAGCATTTCCTTAGTAAATCTGAACTGAGTGACGACATTAGAGGAGTTTTGGGTAGAACATATTTACAGATAGTGTTTTTATCTTAAATGCAAAATGTGTGTTATTTTTTTTGTACAGCTCCTGCTCTTGATATGTTAATTCGTTTTTTTACTTCAGTTAATGATTGAGTACTAAATTGTTAGACAGTAATTATAGTAATCGATTAATCGTTTGTCATACTTTGGTTTTATGTGTTGATTTATTGCTTTTGGTTTGTGTTCTCATCATTACAGCACTCGTGGTCAATTATTAATAAACAGCTCCTCATACTTTGCAACTCTCAAGTGTTTGTTGGTGGCTGCTTTTCATTTCAATAGACTAGACTGAGAATGTCCAGTTCATGAATTATGACGTGTACTCTTCAGGTTCATAAAACACTCAGCCCTGCCTGTAATTTGTAGCAGCTTTGTCTCTGATAAAGCCAGTTCTACATTTCCTGCCATGTTGCGTCATTCTTCCACCCAGTTGAATATTATGAGATGTTGCAGCTGAGTGACATGTAACAACCTTTCCAGGTCTGAGGCGAGCTGACCGCATCATCTCCTGTTTCCTCCCTGAAAACAGGCCTCTCCTCCGGCACAGTAGGCCGCTTGTGTTTGTGATTACACATGCATGAGCCCCTTCTCCTCCCCCATCCTCACATCCCCTCTGTTTTTATCACTCTTCTTTGTGCTCGCACCAGTTTCCTGTGTGCGGCTTATTAACCCAGTGTACTGCCTGACAGGTAGATGAGTGGTCTTGTGACTTGGTTGTGCCGTTAACCGGCTGTGAAAACACAAAAAAAATGAGTGTTCACACTGACAAATGCTACAAGATCTGATGGTATGACTCTAATATCCAAGCATGTTGCAAATGTAAGGTATTTACTGGCCCCTATGTGCAACGGGAGGCTCCAAAGACAGATCAAAAGTGGGAGAAACACTGATGTTGATTATGAGCTCAGCTACACACCCACTACCTCTGACAAGAAGGGGATTTTTAGGGACTGAGATGCTTTATGAAAAGCAGCCTTTCACCATAAATCACCCAGCTTCAGAGAAAATAAGCCATGACACAACTGTCCTTGTCAAACGGGTCACCAACCTTTATAATCCAGAGGATTTTGTCTCTTGCTGCCACCAAGAAACATTTGTTTGGGTGTTTTCACACCTGCTAGTACAGTAGAATCGGTTTGAGTGGGTACCAGAATGGCAGCATTTTTAGCTGGTGCGGTTCACTTCTGCATTTGTCAAACGTGTCAAAGGATCCAAACCAATTGGAAAAACTAAGAACCACTGAAGAAAACAACACAAAAATCTTCAAAGACGACAAGAGCGCAACTTCCTTCTAA